TGGGCACATGCCGAGAGAGCACACTGCATGCGGTCAAAGAGTGTGTTGTCATCAAGCCTTGCGTCGCTAAAGCTGGGGGGCACTACATAATGCTCGGGGATGGGTTTTACTGTTGAACGCAGTGTCTGTAAGTTCCCATTAGGGAGCGTCTGTTAATCTGAATGATTGAATTATTGCTAGTGTATAAGTTCATTTATGTCCTGGTGCATTCAGTGGCTCATGCTATGTTTGCAGATGAGTAATTAGTCTGACGTAACATAGAACATAGTCAGAATGGTGAGTGGTCCTCGGGAAGTAATGATGCATATAGAAATTAGGATTCAACAACGGCGGTAGTGATGAGCTGCTCGAATTCCTCACACCGTCAGTGATGTGATATATATACAGAACAAGTCGATATTTTTTGTGATTGTAACCAAGTCGTACGTTACGCTACATTTATTAGGCTCGTCTAGCTTTTCATCTGATCAACTGGGGGGCCAAACATATGATACTTAAATGATCGTCGAGATGATGATGTTGGGGTGAGAGATGTGTTGTGTGTTTGTATGATTCCGGATCTGCATTTCCTGATGAGAAAACAAACCCGATGCCGCGCTTTTTGTAGTTGTAGTAGTACAGCAACATGGATTAAACGTGCTGTCTTTTTTTCTACACAATGTTCGGGACCAATTAAATGGATAAAGCACGGATTATTATCATTATTGCCACTACGATCCGGACACACTAATGGTCCAAACCCGTTTCCCGCAGCGAGCTCCACCCGTGACAGTTTAACGTGGGCTAGCGCCTGAGTATCGAGATAGGCGCGGACTGGGAACCACTATCGGGGAAACGAAATACATCAGATGGCCCGGCACACACCGAGAGTGGAGACGTGATAGTCACTAGCACATCCCGGCACTCCCCCCGTTGATAATTTACTAGCGAAGACTACCGAAGCTGGGCGGTCCACCGACGAGTCCCGGGATGATTGTTTAACGCATCTGGCTCTCAGCTGTCGGACTGCTACAGTGACCAACGTGGCTTATCGAAAAGGTCACTTATTGACGTTACGGCTACGTTACTAAACTTCTAACTGAAGTACAACATAAATCCGATTTGTCAGTGTTCATGTGATCCTCAGACATACATTCAAATTGATCCGTGCTAAGTTGATGATCTTAGATTAGGCTTTAAAATCGAGAGCCGTGCTTGCGTTCCTCCCGTGCGTTTACATGCAGATGCTAGACATCCTGAAATGTCTGCTGTACATGGAGTGTACTGTGCCAGTATCTGACTTTATTCACATCGATCTCCAGGTGTGGACTCGCTGCAGCACCTGGAGGAGATCAAATGGTCCATTGCAGCTGGCAGATATAATACATTTATCTAAGTCACATAGGGCTCGTCAATCAAGTTCAGAGCTGGAGGTTTTCCATGAGCGACAGGATGATCTACTACCAATTGATGGGTCTCGCTGTTGGGCCGAAACTGATGGAATGATTTCTTAACTTACAGTAGGCTATTTTTTACAATGTGTGTTGGAAGGATTTATTAAATTCCTATGAATATTGTCATTGTTGAAGGCTTTTAGAGAAGGGTGAACTATAAGCCTGAATTACATAACATGTTATACCTAAAAACATAAAAGCCACAATAAATGAATCACAATTATTCTAGTTATTTTTACCTCCTGTATTGCTTTCAACCCACCAGCTTTTATGGTGTTGTTACGTCACTAACTGTAAGCTTGTCACATACAGTCTATGGTCACTCAGAGTAACATCCAGTTAATTTAGCTGCTGGAGAAGAAAGATCAGGGGGGGAGGGGGGGGGAGAGAGCCTTGTGGTTGATGGGCCATTAGTTGTGTAAATACACAGCTGAGAGCTGCCGTTTCATTCAGACTGTTTAAAAAACGGTAACAACGGACTATTTTTCTTAGCGGATGCATGTCAATTTAAATCAATACATACAACTATTTTTTAAATCAATAAAAACATTTTCTAAATCCATAAAAGCATTTCAATTAATACTGGGAGTCATGTCGTTACTTTGTTGAGAATGTGGCCGTGTAATAAGCGGGATAATTTGCAGCGACTTGTTCCTTATGGGGAAAATAGCACCCGTCATGCAGATCAGGATCCTTCCGCCACGCTTTGGGATCCTTATCTGCCGACGAGGTTCCATTAAAATATAAATATTTTTTGTGAATTACTGAGTTTAGGCACGTTAATAACGTTTTAATGAAGTTGAATACAGTATATTCATACGTGTCAGTGATTTCATGTCAATTCGGTGAACATAAACATAAATGATCGTGGTGAAGATGATGATTTAAATTAGGATTAAAAATCGAGAGCCGGGCTGCATTTCCTCCTGTTCGTTTTTTTCAACTAAACAACATTATTTTGTTAAATAACAACATGGTGATGTTTTGTAAATGATTACATGTCTCTTATTTAGCACAGAGTATGATATCCCTGATATATGGATCTTAACAAAGTTCCGCTGTACATCCAGCGTGTATCTGACTTTATTTCACATGAGCTCCAGTGTGGAACCCCACTGCACCCCCTGGTGGATCAATGATCCATTGCAGCTTGCTTCATTATAATTACATTTATCTATCACGGGGGCGGTCTCAAGTCAAGCTGGAGGTTTTCCCTTGAGCGAGGGCACATCACGTACCAATCACGGCCCTCGCGTTTCAAACTGTCTGAAATGAATCGCTACATCTGTACAAGACATCTATCAATATGTGTGTATACCTCCACCCAGGGCTCGACAGTAACGGTTGCCAGGTTGCCATTGGCAACCATTCCGAAAAAATGTCAACCACTTCTTGGCCTTTGGTTGCCATCAGTGGCAACCACTTTTTAATATGAAGAAATAAGGACAGCAAACAGCTAAATGTGTTCCCCAAAATAGATAAATGTTAATTATTTGTTGTATTAAGAGTGATATTTAATTATTGTTGTGACCAGTCTTAAGTTGCACGTGCATTGGTGTGATTACGGAGCCAGAAAGCAATGCACGTTTACTCACGTGCGCTGTGCGCACGTGTGTTTGTTTTACAAAAAATGGCGAAGCAAATTAAGTTGTTTGACTGTGAGGTAAAAAGTTCAGCCAACCCGTCAACATCTCAAACGAATGTTCAAAGTGATTCAACTGATAAAGTGCAAGATGAACCCGAACGAAAGCAAAGAGAAAATGTGTAAAGTCTTGGGAGGCGAAATATATATGTACATTCTGCTCCGTTGTGAATTCACTTCCGGTAAAAGTTCCTTCAAAAATAAGAGTCCCGATCTTATTACTACCAAAATAAAAGTGCTAAGCGAAATTTTACCATAGGAAAATATTGGCATACAAATATAATCACTTCTATAAAAAGGTAACACATTTTAAATATAGTTAGGCAAGGTAATTTACATCATTAATAATTCATATCTAATTCTTAACTGTGAATGGTTTTCATTTATTTAACATTATAAATGTATTAGTCTGGCCAATGACAGAACCACAATCAAGACTTCAATGCTGAAGGGCCAATGGATCTCTGGTGGGGGTCAGCACAAAGGTCAAGAAAACCCACATTTCAAAGGGAGACAACGGATGACCAAGAAACTAGTGATCTGTGAAGAACATGACAACAGCTGCACTACTGGTATTTAGTATACCAGCAATTGAGGGTGGACAAGTTTACTACCACTTAGGTTTCAAATAA